ATTTAATATTGAATCAATGTAAACCTATTATTAATTTTCTATCCTCCTGCTTACAGCTTATAATATTTTCCTGCAATATTCGAATGAAAAATACGGTTTGATTTGAGAGATATTTATCCTCAAAATAATGTCATATTTGTTGTTAGTGGTGCAAATCTTAAATGACTTTTATGCCATGTACTGTGCATATCGACACTACAATTTTGTACATTATAAAATGAATTCCCGTGATGAGTACGCAAACATTTTTATTTTTTAAAGATGTTTGTTTGTATGAATTTGTCTCTCTCTGGCGGCGAAAAAGAGACCACGAATGCACCCTATTTACGACTCTGCTACCTATTGATGTTCGTATTGCCATAACAGTAGCTCAACGCCGCTATGTTCATTCTAGTTAGTGTAATGCTACGTCACGAGTATTTATCCAATTAAAAGAGAAATTGTTTCTGATACAACACTCCCATGCATGGCACCGGCCACAAGTACACAAACCTAACAGTGCCAACGTCTTATCATTTTTATCAACCCAGCTCCATTTCCGTAAGCAATTAAATAAATATATAAACAAATGCTGTATTGTTTGCTTGTTTTAGAACATACACACAAAACGCTCACACCCCCACATACCCTTTTCCATCGCAGGCAATAATATACATTTATGAGAACAAGCTTCGGAAAAAAAAAAAACACAAAAAAATCACAACCCAGACGACAACAATCAATTTCCTAAAATCATTTCCAAGTAAATTGGAAACGAGCAGAAAAGTTTCCCCTTCAACAAGATACCCGTACTTTTACTTAAAAATACTTCAAAAACTTTATTCTGTGAAAAGGAGAAGAAAAAAACGTGTAGATACTTTTGATAAGAGGAAGATAAGAGACAAAGTCAAATAACAAGAACACATTAGGAAGAACAATTTTTAATATTTGTCGTCATAATTGTGCTGCAAATAATTGTTGTATTAATGACTAAAGTTTTTTTCCCGAGTGTGCAGAATGCTGCAATTGCCAATAGAACTGAGCACAGTGGAGCAAAATTTTTCAGTTTTTGACATTTTATTTTTAAACTTTTGCTAACTGTATCGCCAGCAGTCATAGTTGAAATAATCGCGGTATAGATCTATTAGGTTTGCAATTAGGAAAGTAGGCTTTTGAAATGCACAGTACACATTAATACCATATAGAGTATTTCTTGAAATAGTAAATCTGGCAATTTTAGAGTTTTTTTTTTTAATATTGTATTATGTTAAAATGTGTGTTTAAATTAACTACTCTGCGGGAAATATCGAAAATGTTGCTTAAAGGCTGCTTAAAGACATGAACCGATGTGATCGAAATTTGTATCACTCCATTGTAGTCGGAAATTTAAATTTAGGGGACTTAAATACGTAATTGAAAGGAGAAACATATATTTAAGCTAAAGCGAAATCGGATGAAGATACATATATTTATTCTAGACTGAAATCGGCCATTTGTTCCAAAATAATTCTTATTATGGGTATATATTACACATTTGGTGCACAATAAACGTGAAATCGGGCGATGATATATGGGAGCTATATCTAAATCTGTTCTGTTTATCAGTCTGATTAGGTTGAAAGTAATAGATTACTCATCAAAAAATTACAAAGCAAAACAATGTATTTTTCTCATTACCAAGTAATAAGTAACGTTGGCATAGAATGTGCGGGTATGCTAGGTGGTGACTTCGAAACTCGGTGGCACAAACGAAAATAAACAAACGTTTATATTCGACACAATGGGATAATGTGTAGAGTGTTTAAGTACAAATCATAAGGGTGTGAGTTCAATTCCAGGAGTTGACAAACCAAAAAGTGGAAATATAATTTCCAAATATAAAACAAATACTATATTTCTACTCATTTGTCAAAATGCCTCAAATATTACAAAAACTGGTGTTGGAAAATCGGTATTTGTCGTCCCTTTTCTCTAGAGACCTAAGATACGGTCAATAACAAAATGTGAACCTATATAGACAATTTTCTACTGCAAGGATTGTTCTGTATTGCGAACCTGAAATACAATGTATGATTTAATTACTTAATTTTCGTTTTTAAGCAAAATTTGATTATAATAATAATTTAAAGTTCAAAGGACTAAAGATGCCAAAGCATTTGTATCTTTTAAACTCGGACTTGTATTGCGCATTTGGTGCAAAATTAACTTGACATCAGATAAAGATATATATGGGAGCAATATTCAACACTGAGCCGATCTCGATAAAATTTGTCAAAGATATTTCTGAGCTGTATTTGATATTTTTCCTTGAATATCGTTGTTACGGAGTGCATATTACGGCTGTGTGTAACAAATACAACAAATCGGATGAACAATATATATGGGAGCTATAGCTATATCTGAACCAAATTTGATATACTAGCTTCTAGACTCAATTCGGTCGTAAGTGCCAAATTCCATCCTATTTGGACAAATATTAGACGTTTGATGCACAATAAAAGGTAAATCGGACGAAGTTATATATGGGAGATATATCCAAATTCGAACCGATCTCGATAAAATTTAGCAAAGGTATTTCTGAGCTGTATTTGACATAGGGTAAGTGTGCCTAAGTTCGGCATGTCCCAGTAGTCGGCACTTTTTATTTTTAAGCCCAAATAAATGAAACTATTGTAACTAAATGTATTTTGTTTACTTCAAATATATTGTCAGCTATCTTTGTGCACAATTTCGCTATGAAAAGATGAATTATTCTAATGAAAATTAAATTTTTGTCCGTGAAGGTCCTCAACAATCCATATTCTTAAGAAAAGTACAATAAAGACGTCGAATCAGTTTAATAAACAAATATATTATATTTTAATGAATTAATTTATTATTATTATTAATTATTCTTACAGAAAAATTGGTATGCCGACTGTTGGAAAATGCCATACCGACAATTGGCAAGTGGTACCGACTACTGGCAAAAAAACATTGTTTTAATAAAACAACAAATTTATGAAATTTAATAAAAAGTTATTAAAACTTTATTTATTATTGCAAAAACTATACAAAATTTCCAATCTGAACAAATGGTGAGCGATTAAAAACGCGAAAATCCTAAAAGTGCCGACTACTGGTACACTTACCCTATTTCCCAAAATATTGTTACAGAGTTTATATTGCGGCTGCGGATGAACAATATATGTTGGAGCTATAGCTATATCTGAACCGATTTCGATCAAATTTGGCATACTTATTTTCAATCCTAATTTGGCTGTATGTGCAAAATTCCATACTATTCGGGCTGACACCACACATTTGGTGCACAATAAAAGGCAAATCGGACGAAGATATATATGGTAGCGATATATTTAAATTTTTACCAATTATGTCCAATTTCAATAGAGTTCGTCCTTGGGCCAAACAAATGATTTGTGCAAAATTTCATCTGGATCGGGCAATAAATGAGAACTGTACTATGATTACAAAAATACATGGACAGACGGACGGACGGACATGCATAAATCGCCTCAGAATGTGATTCTATGCAGATCAGCTAAAGGAACTATGGGTCTATCTCGTTTCCTTTTGCCTGTTACAAACAAATGCACAAAGACATAATACCCTGACCACCTTGTGGTGTAGATAGACTTTTGAGAAATGTTGGTCACCTCTGGGTAATGCAAATCAATTCTAAATATTTTAAAACAACGAATGTGTGTATATCAAACTATCTAATTCAAATCCAATTTTTGGTAAATTTTTGCTTATATAAATGAATTATTAAAATCAAGTATTTTTTCTTAATTATCAATTGATTAATTATTCAAGATCGTCCAATTTTTGTTGTTCGTTATTTTACATGCATTTCTATATCAACTTGTTTTACTTTTCTAGAAATATCTTTTTTAATTATGGAACAAAATTCGATTTGACATTTTGTCTAATTTTGTAAAAACAAAAAACGAAAACCAAATCAGACCATATGCGACATTTTTACCTTTCTGGAATGTACCTTTAACATTGCTATGATGTAAGTAGATGAAGAAAATAAAAAGCAACACGTTTCAGTGATTATTCATCGATCGTAGAAGTACTTTTGTGACATTTACTTTGAATTGAGGTAATGTCTAGCCCTACAATAACAATGCAGCCAATTGAAATGCAACTGTAGTGGCACCCACTTAAATGCACTTTATTGCATTCGATGGTCTGTAGTTAAATGACCTCTTTGATTAGATAGAACTCTTTGGATGTGTGTCTAGTTGGACAAAATCAGCCTGAACACAATTAAAATGTGTAAACGGCAGGTGTTTCAGTATTGTAGTAATTTCTCACCAAAGAAGCAGACATAAATTAATTTAACTTTGCCGTCTCCCGAAGAAGAGTTGAATTACTCAATTGGACATTTGAAAGTTTGTCCACGTACAAAAGTAATAAAAACAGCTGATTGGTATGGAACAACGGTTGGCATGCAGACTCTATTGAATAACATAAAATATGTCTGTCTGAAATATTTATTATTGAGTCGAAAATAAGTGAATGTCAATTATTAAGCCTTTGGTTATTTAAATCTTCAAATCAAACCATCCAGAGATTTGACAACATAACCAAATTAAAAAATCATTATTAAATTATATCCGATCCACTGTACATTGTTGTCATATTCAGAAACGATTTGTTTGTTTATTTTTTCGTTTTTCATTAAAATGTAGATAAACCCAAGCGCAAAGTTAGGCAATATGATAACTTTATGTAATAACTTCGCGGTAGTACATAATTCACAATCTGAGGCCGGTTTCTTGAAAGCAAATTCTTTTTGTTTTATTTGCACGCTGATTTGAATTTTAGCAGTATCAAAATAAAGTCAATGGGCGCACTACCACACATTCCGCCATCAAATATCCAGTCAATGTCAGAAGCGAGATGCGTTGTCAAAACACAGATGTATGTACATATTTTAGTGTATCCGCTTCGAACAAGGTAATGCCACAAAAGCAGATTTCGAGGAAAACTATTCTCTGATAAATGTTTACCGTTTTGTTGATTCTATTCCGTTTCTGTTTGTGTTTTTTTTTTTCTTGCAAAATTGTTTTGTTTCTGATGATCGCCGTTGTTATTTGTTTGTTTTGCTTTTTTGTTTTAGTCTTTTCTTCTTTTCTGTTTTTTTTTTTTTTTTTTTGTTTGCTTTTTTCTTTCACGAAACACTAACACGGAAACTGAACTGAACCCACTTAGTTCGCGTCTTAATTAACACTGAGTCCAAATCGAAAAGTATCGCGAGCAAAATGCTTCACTTTTATAGCAAAAGTCGGTACCAGCGATCCAAAAGTTAACGCGCCAACGTCGACTGAGGTGATCGTGTTCCACACGTATTGGTGGTATTTGGTTGGTGGTAACGCCAGTGGCAGCAGTGCCAGCAACCGCTTAAAAACAAGTTAACAACTTGTTGCTATTGTGTTTATGGAAAAGTGAATATGTGCGACCGGTGTGTGATCAAACAAACAAACAAACCGAACGTATATATGCATGCGCGAGTGATGTGGAAAATGTTGACAAGTAACCGAACTCTTCGAATCGATCACTTCTCGAATACAACCAATGCCCATTCGTTGGATTTACTGTCAACCGGGTGGTTGTTCCGTTGTTTTTGTTGGTGTACGTACACACAAGCATGGAAGTAGGTTTATGTGTCTCTTGTTGTGGCAAACCATGAGTCAGAAAATCACTTGCTATCAAACCACATCATAAAAAAGAATTCAATTCAACGATTGCTGGGCGGTAGCATAGAATAGGTTGATATGTACAATTGTACGTACGTGCGTGCGTGAGTAAATAAACACAAAAGTATGTATGTATGTTTGACTTGTAATCAAACTAACCCGATTACTGCTGACGTATGATTAATGTGTACTCGCAGTCAGTGATAGTGTGGCGTTTTAGCCACAAACCACACTGGGTTAACCGGTAACTTTGTTCAATTGTCTCCTACTCTCCATGGCTCTCTTCTTTCTCACTCTTTACACACCTAACTTCACAAACAGGTTTTGGTTGCAAAGCAACAAGTTGGCAATTGGCAGCAACGAACAGTGATGTTAACACTTTTTAGAATATTTAAATAACATAAGTCAATCAAGGCAGTACATTTGTTGAATGAAAGAAATGAATACATTGCAAGTGAAGAATATCAAAAGCAAATATATCTTTATTCAATATCTAACCATTTGGTCAACTAAAATTATTTTCAAAAAAAAAAAAAAATAAAAAAATAAATAAATAATAATAAATAAAGAAATAAATGAGTTTCAATTTAAAGGTTTGTAATAGAAAAATATTTGGAATTGATATTTCGAAAATTGGTCTAAAACGACTATTCCAGTTGGTGATAATCAATGTAGCTCGATTTAGTTGTAGCTCCCATATGAAATTATCTTCACTTTCACATTTTTTGTGAACCAAATGCGTAATATATCTTCAAATAAGTTGGACTAAAGACTAAATTCTACATAGAAATATGCCGGACAAGTTCAAAGAAAATCAGTTCAAATATAGCTGCATCATACACTGAAAGAAAAATGCTTCGTTGTATAAATGAACCGGTTTCGTTGATTTTTTTTTTCATTGATGCAATGAAAATCTACTTTAATATAATACATTTTTTGTTCATGCAATGAAAACTTACGTTGCTTTTAAATTCAATGATTTTTGGTTCATTGAAAATATGAAGCGGATTTCATTAATGTTACGAAACTACTTATTTTTACAAAATCCAGTAAAAAATGTGAATATAGAAATGATAAATAACAGCGCTGTCTTATACAAACAAATACGCAACCAAAGTATTTATAATTAGAGGGAAAATTGTGATAATTGTTATATTTAAATTTGTGCTCCAATTTAATGAAGCAGTTTCATGAAATGGGTGAAACATTACGTTATGGAGTTCGTTCTTAGGCCAAACAAATGACACATGGAAAATTTCATATCAATAGGACAATAAAGTCGATCTGCATTTTGTTCATAAAAATACATGGCCAGACGGTCAGACTTATTGACATGCATAAACCGACTCAGAACGTGATTTTATAAAGATCATCCAAAAAAGTAGGGTTTATCTCGCGTGTTTCTACCTGTTACAAACAAATGCACAACGACAAAGTATGAAACTTTTTCTTTCAGTGTAACAGTTTAAATATAATTACATCTGTTATCGTGCTTAGCAGATAACAACGCACACGGGTAAATTTCCCTGATTGAAAACATATATACTTTATACGGTCTAAGCCTTAGACTCTAAGGTGATCATTTCAAGGAGTTACAAAACGGAATGACAAAATTTATATGCCCACCATGATAAACAAAGGCAACAGTCAGTTTGGGCCCACCATGTGATAGAATTGGCGGTATAATGAACATTCGAGTAGGTCCTTTTTGATCAATTTGATTCTTTAAATACTATCGAATATTCGCTTCTGCCGAAAACATTTTGGGAAAAGGATAAAATTAATTTCCTAAGTACAAATATTGCGTAACATAACAAAAACTTCTAAAAATTATCTACAAAATTGGAAATGAATAAAAACTCGATTCTGGATATATATCACATTTTTTAGGTAACTTTCTATTTTTTTTTTTGTTTTTGTAACATTTTTAATATTTAATTGAAAAATTGTTCAGCTCCAAAACGCTAAAAAATGTAAAACTTAAAATTTGTAATCCACCACCAATAGTTTGAAAGGCGTCATATTCTCAAAATATGAGAAAATGTGGAAAATTGTTTTCATTTTATTTATTTTGACTTGATACCATTTGCTTGAATAAAATTTAATGAGTTTATACGTATAATTTTCATTTTATGGATATATAAATAACTTTTGAATAAGTAGGTTAGTGGAAAAACTGGGTAGCGGCGAATTGAATAAGCTGTCGCGGAAAGTCGGAAGGTCGAGCGTCTATGAAAGCCAAACCTCTGTGCTAGTTCCCACTGGGGTGTTATGGGGCCATTATTGTTACAGGTTTGCAGTCAGGGTACCAGTTGCATTCTAATGGAGCTTAGTTGATACCTGGGCGCCTCAACGAATATCAGTCCATTAGAATGGCAAGGAGGCTACGTCATGTTTGACCTCAGTCCCATAACATAACAGTGACGTATGGTAGATAAATTACTTATAGCAAGAAATTTTACTTCGACTGATGATGGTGTGGACGACTTAGCACATTCAGTCAACAAAGCTAGAATTGCAAAGTTAACTTTACATAAAAACAAATGCGACCTTAAGATCAGATTTATACAGAGATGCAGGATGGTCTGCTACCATTAGCAGACAATACTCTGACACTAAACCTAAATAATTTAAGAGTTTCCAAACAGCAACAATCAATCCTACAAATAATTGTGGATATGGCACCATTAGCTCTCCGTCCATGTAAAAAAACTCTAGCCCCATCGGCCCACCAATTCATCGGTACACACTGACAAACCCATGCTCTCAAGGCAGGAGGCAATTGAGGTAGAAAGAGGACAAAGAAACTGACTATATTGAAGCAAACTGTGCGGTAACTTTCTTTTTGTAATATGTTACTGTAATTTGACATTTCTAGTTTCATGCTGATTGCCATTAGTTCCTAAAAATCCTTTGTATGGGACCAATTTTATTGTGAATACCACAAAAAACTGTAACACAGATTGTTGATCTATTCCAAATATTTTGCACATAGGAGTAATTATGTCTTACATTTTGTCATTAGGATATATTTTGTTTAAAATACCATATATTTCAAAAGAAAAACTTATACTCATCATTTCGTGACAAATAGTGATGCAAGTCCAAAATAGTCAATCATGTTGACAACACTTTATTTTATTTCTATTCTTATAATAAGTAATGATTAAAGAAGTAATTCCCAAAGATCACCGCTATATAAATGTATCTCTTGGGTTGTAAATCTCAATCTTTTGTTGAAAGAACACTTTTTTTAAATCGTCGTAAGTCGTCTTAAAATCCCAATATTGTGGATTAATTTGCACGTTTGGTGTTTATCACCCCCTCCCCCTACAATCATCACATTGCTTCAAAAAAATATTTTATGTCAAAACAAAAGCAACAAAATGAAAGAAAAACAAAAAGAAATAATTATCGTGCCATGAACGGGGAGTAACTCGTTTAACATTTTGTTAATATTGAAATCAGGTTTGTTGCTGTCGGCGGCTAATGTGACCTATAACATTTCGTTAAACGTGATATTTTGGAACCTTTACGTTCGTTAAAATGTCACCAAAATTAATATAAGTTTTTTTTTTTTTTTTAATGAGGAGCATCAGTAAGTATGACTGATGGTTTTTAATTCGGAGTTTGGTCATTAAATAAACTACTGTATAATCCATGAAACTAAGTTTCAATCGATTAATGGTTTCATGAGCAACAGCTTGAAATTTGTAGACATTATCATGAATATATCTTGGGTGAAATAAGTATGTCAATCATGACATGCGAAAAATGGTTACCAAATACAGGTCAAAACGTTTGCCTCGTCTCGAAAGTGTATACTAGTTGAAGGGAGCGTTATAATAAATTATTATCATTGGTTTGAATTTTGCCAGTCAAATTCTTGATGTTCACGTTTAACCGTCATAAATAAACAAATTTCGAATTTTATAACCGTATTTTATCTAATGATTTAGTTTAGTAAATAAGGTAGTTTGTAAATGACTTCTCTAAAACCTTACCAATAACAAAAGGTTATGTGGTCATATATATGTTCCAGAAATTTGATTTGAATCAAAATACTACTCTAAATCCATATTGAAATTACAACCCATGATACTGCTTCCCGCAAAGTTTCTTTGACAATATGCCCAAAAGAACAGACAAAGAAAAACCAGTTTTAAATCTTTGCAGTTTTGTTTTTTTTTTAACATATGCAAGTTTGCATGTACATATGTAGCGGTTTGGGGAGATACTAAGATGATGGTGATGATGCGACTCATTGCAGCGAGATGTTCTTCTTTTGCCATCCAAACGACCACTGAAGTTAAACCACTTTTGGTTACTGTCTGTCTACTTGATGCTGATCTCCGGTTTCACTCGCTTACCTTGGACTATTTAAAAGCAGCTAGTCAACCCGTAAATGAAATTTAATTTTCGGTTTCAAGGCTGTTCCCAAACCAAAGCAGTTGCATTGAAATGTTAATTGTAGGACTTTAAAGTAACGGAACAATCAATAAAATATTAGAACCTATTCTTCATCCGGGAGAGATGAGTGAAACAAATATCATTAAATTTTCAAC